AATATTTGCGTTTATTCATAATTTGCGGATTCTCTAAGAATGTAACCCCTGTGAAAATTGGGGCTCCGCTGTAAAAACATGACAGTAATAAATAATTCAAACCAGTGTGCAAAAACACAAACTTTGAAAATGCTGCAGAATTTAGCCATGTAAAATTTACTAAGTACTAGTTTTGATTTTTTGTTAATGACTGATAGAGGGGTGAACAAGTGTATGCATCTCTTATATTTACAAAAGGGGATCGCTGTAAATATGTTTCRTGACTTTGAATTAGTTTAATTCAGCAAGAAAAGTAACAGAAATGGTTCCTACGATTGGAAAGGTTACAGATCAATATTTTTTGAGTCCATCATCATTTCCCTCAACATCATCTTATTTTCAATGAATTTCTCTAAAGTCTCGACCCAATCAGCAGACAGCTGGCACACAAAGGGTGTGATGGAGAATCTGAGTCTTTTTTTCCCCCAAGCTGAGTTTAGGTTTGTGAAATACAGCAGAAATTGCAGTGAAATGCTTGACATTTACATCGTTTCCTCCAACCAGACTGTTTTCCTTTGGCATTTCCACCTGAACAGATTTAGTTCAACATGGGAATATCTCTTTGTGAACTTTTAAAGAGGTATTTTTTTATTTTTTTGGTAAGATAACCTGTGACTGAGTCAAATAGTGAGAGAGAAAGCCTTTCGTGGCTAATGATGATCCCTAACTGGAAAAAGAGCTGTTTYACAGAGCCAAATATATCCTTTCTTTATTCCTATACTTTACTGCTCGCTCTCTCTAAAAAATAAAATAAAACAATGTTACAGGGTAATGTAATACGTTTTGGTAATGTGCGTTTTATATCTGCCATGAATCACTTTGTCCCCAGTTTTAAAATTTTATCCCCAGAGGATGGTCTCTGCGCTTTTCACTTAAAGTGAAAGTAAAGCAACAGCTTGTTAGAATAAAGTATGAGCAAATGCAGAGTTTCGCAGAGAAAGTGGCTTTCAATAAAAATCCTGGAGCTTGTTTATTGAAATAAATGCTCTAAATGTCTCCTTAATAACTTGCTTTGCTAATGGCAAAGAAAACTAGGGATTAACCAGCAATCAATCTTTTCAGCATTTTAGCTCAGCAGAGAGTAATAACAGCTTCAATTAGACTTTCAAGATGCTCGTTTTTTTCTCTCTTGCTCGCTTGTATACCATCAAGTCTAATCAGTGTTTCTGGCTAATTTTGATGTTTGTCTAATGGCGTGGTCGTGTGTGTTTGCTCAGCTAATTCAGGTCAGCGTTGAGGTAAATTGTGCTTTAATTGTTACTATTATAGCTTTTTGTAAGTTGAAGCAGAGGGATGTAAAAACAAAAGGAGCTGCAAGAAGAAAAGATGAGCATCAAAGTAAAAGTGAGTCGGTGCAGGCTATAAATGCGAAATGGGGAAGTTGTGGCTGCACAGGCTTTTTGAGTAAATCGGCAACCTGAAGGAGAAAAAGAAAGAGGGGAAATTGGAAATGATGAAAACAGGAAATGTTAAAATCACTTGTTAAGAGGCGGTGGCACCTTCCAGCTCAGGTTTCAGCTTGTGGCTGGGAACAAACAGAGAAATTGACTCTGGCAGAAAGAGATTAGCCTCGGTGTTTCTCTCCAAGCAGAGTAACCAGCTATAGAGGAGGCCAGGTGTCTCTCCAGCTGCAGGAGACCCCAGCTGCCAGGACCTTTCCTCCTGCTTTCTTCTTTCACCTTTCCCTCTGTTAGCCCGACCACTTCCGTTTCACTTTTTATTCTGCACCGAGTTTTATAGCCGACCCCAATCTCCTCGCATCGCTCGAAGATCTCAATGTGAAGGTGTCTTTAGGGGTCGTGCACAACCGGGTTTGTTTTCAGAACAGTCTTCATTATCTAAGTCCAAAGAGACAAACTGTGTTTGGCCACGGAGTGGAGAAGATTGGAAAGTGGGCCAAAGGTCCTGAAGATGTTGCCGTGACCCTTCTGTGAGGATCATAATGGTGAAGATATTGTGTGTTATTTTGTGTGTATCACAGTTTTTCCATGACATGTTTTGGAGGAAAATTATTAATATCCCTTAGTGTGAAACMTTGTAGTTATRGRTGTCCYGCTCAGATACTCAGTATCGGTATCRTGGCAGATATGRCCAATTTTTKRAAAWYSGGKWRRAWYSGRWTT